AGCCATGCCAGAAATATACATTTATAGTATGCAAATATATAATAGAGCTACAATAATCTAAAAACTCTCAATTATGCATTATGTATTAAGCTAACATCAAACAACCATAGGAAGCATGACTTTTTCCAAGTGACATAGGACATAAATTAAAAAGTTCAAATGTAAATATCTTTTTTTTGACGCCTTCTCAGTACAAAATTCTTTGACAGAGTTATTAAGGGACTGAGGCTTAACATTTTAAGATATTTTTGGTATATAGACGCTACCATTTCTTCTCAACTAATTTTATGTATGAAAGTCTGCCATTGTTCTTTCTGGAAAACAAGTCTCTTGTTAAAAAATAACCAATGCGTATGTCTTATTGTTTAATTTTGCTTAAAATGGTTAAACTGCCGTCTTATTACTATCATATGGCCGAATAGACCTACGAAGTACCATGTGCTCTTGTGATATGGTATAAGCTTTATTTTTATTTGAAACAGTTCGAAACCGTTCATGCATAAAAAAGTTCGCTAATAAATAGTCTTTTGTCAATCCGCCATCGTATAGCACCGGCATTTTTTTCCTTTTGAAAACACTTGTTTTGCTATTCTTACTAACTAGACGTTTTGAGATCGACTTTACTTTTACATTTGCATAACATTAAATAATATTTAACATTTGTAAATATCAATTAATCATAAACCTTATTTTTTTTCCAAATTAAGGTTCTTGATTGTTTGATATTTACAAAAATGTTATTATTAGGTGAAAATTTTAATTTAATAAAAACCAAAGTTTTCCAGGGTGATTTAGCTGTACCTACTTATATAAATGATTTTTTTACAAAACAAAAAATAGCACAAAATGTTTGTAATCTCTGCATAAAAAAGTCACTTACTCTCAATTTCAAAGAAAACACGTAGAGAAACACGTAGTTACCCACTAAAAACAAGTATCCTTCCGTTTGTAACTGATGTTTGATGTCAACTAAACATAATTAGGTCTAAACAAGTGAAAAAAGCATAAAAAAGAAAATTATTTTTACACATGGCTGAAGGCACAAAAGGCTAAACTTCTGTGGTGAAGGCGAATGAAATATTTGTTCGCCGCCACAGCTAAAAGTTGTCAAAAATCGATGCTGCAACGAATCGGTTATTGAACTTTTATATAATAACTATTTATAGTTATAATTTTTTTGTAGATGTAAGAATGATAAATTACATCTATATTATAATGAACCCATTGCTTCTGATTTTAAGTTCCTAACTGAATGAAAGATTATTATATATATATATATATATATATATATATATATATATATATATATATATATATATATATATATATATATATATATATATATATTTAATAATTGTTGATTAAACAAAAACAAACTGGGGGAAATAATATAAGCCAAAGTATTACTCATATTTTTATTTACTCTAAGCACTTTGAATCCACTATATACCACTTTTATAAAGTTAAATATAATTTGGACAAAAATAATTTACATGGCAAGGCCAAACATAATTTTAATAATAATTCATTTATATAAATTAAAATAATTTCACTTTAGGCATTTAAAAATAATAGAACATTTATATCAGTATTAGATTAGATATTCAGTATCAAAAATAAACTAAAGTCAGATCAGGTGACTAAGATCTCTACCCACAAGCGGAAATTCGAGCAAGACAGGTTCAATTTTCGTTTAAAAATTGCCTAAGTGATAACACAATAAGAAAGTTGGAAGTCATACAAATATTGCTAATAGCGATAATATATGTTGCCGGCCTATAAATACTACACATTCAACTTTAGAAAAAGACTACCCAGCTATAATTGTTTGGCTCTGTCGCATGTACAACGACTCAAATAAGCAACGTGTAGGTTTGAAATAGGCAACGCTTCGCAGTCTTTCTAAGGCTCGACGTATAATATTTTCAAATTCCTTAACATTATAAAAAATAAAAACTAAACTTGAGAAATAATAATAAAACATAAACCTAACAAGCTATTTAGAACGCTTACAGACGGGTGGTACTTTGCCGGCGATGGGAGCAACTGATGTAGTCGTCTCAGATCGACGAATATAGTTGATACGCCAGCGTCAAGGCTAAAAACGAGCTAGTAATGCCAAAATAGATTATAAAGAAAGAACCACTAAATGCTTAGCTTTTACTGTATTGAAGGAAAAGGTTAATCAAAATGATAGTGATGAGATATTGGCATATAGAGATCAAATATTTAAGTTCACACTATATCTCATTAAAAAGATTCTCATAAAATGGTAAATTATGCCTCGCTTAGTGACGAAACACGTTTTATCGACGGTGATTTTAATTTCCTAGTGTTGGGGTTGCGTTGCCGAGTTTAGTGGTGGCAGTAACAGTGCTCGCAATCGCGGGAGCGAGAGGGATGCTCTTCAAACTAGGTAACACACCATTTTATTTTTTCACGTGGATCTCAGCTAATTCATTTTCACATCTATAATAATTTTACATTCTGTATTTGTGATTTTTACAGTCAAAATGCCACCTGCGCCGCGCTAGCATTGCAAGCATCGGCTGGCGTCGCTCTTTGTGTCGCTCGTCTGTGCGCGCCCTTAAGCGAAAAGTGGACTGGGAAATAGTTTTGTACATATTTATGTACACAATATTAAATTTTATTTTACCAAATAAGTTATTAATTAATAATTTTATAGCATGGATGCCTAATACAGACAACAAAGATACACGTCAAAATATAATTACTACAAACAATGAAGCAAAGATAGAGTTCAAGTGTCCGGATGTTTCAGCGTTGTTTTTTTTTTAATGCTTCATACAACTTAATTTTCGTAACATTTTCGAAACCCACAATAAAAAAGATATCCATTTTTGACTAGAAAGCTTAATTCTAATACAGAGAGAGATTCTTTTGGAAAATTTTAATACTTTTTCAAGGGTCAACGATGGTTATCAACTTAATGCTAGATAATGTTAATTTTGAAGAAAAGTAGCCTCATCTTTGATTTGTGGAAAATGGCGAAAAGATATAATCGAAATGTACAACAATTGCCTACACCATTACTCACATTTTATTGTAACTGGTTTTAAAAGTGTATATAATCTAAAGTAGCTTACGTCAACTAAAAATGACAAAAGTCAAATAAATTGTGATGTGATACAACAGTTGAGTAACTGGAGACAATAAAAATAATTTCACTTACTACATACATAACCGCGCACACTCCTGGAGGCGATCTATACATACTCGTACTTACATTTATCTTTTTATAATTTAGAATTAGTGTACTATGTTACAAATTTTTAAACATACGTAGGCTTTGCCCAAAAATTATTGCACTAACATAGTTTTGAAGACGAATATTACAGGTGATGTGGAAGTCATTAGGTACATGATTAAATGTTACAAAATATCGCATATATTCATCGTTACGTCCGCAAAGTAAAGCTGATTTTATGTTACAAAAACTCGCAAAAATGCGACTCGTGTAGCAAATATAGGCACATTATAACAAATAATAAAATTATTAAATATAAAACATATGTAACCTTTGCAGACGAAACACAAGCAGAAATATGTTGTCGATTTAAAAGAAAAACAACATCTTATTACAACACCATAAAGAGTAATTCATAAATACATAAAAGGACAACCAATTCAAAAATAAAAAATTCATCAGGCATACGAGCTTAGTGTGCAGTATCCACACCATTATATTATTCAAACCTAACTATACATTCGCAGGCAACACTAGCTAAGACGACGTGAAAAACTTGCAGTCTTTAAGATAACTTTCCTCCTCACATACACACTTGACAAGAGACGGCGAACAAACCTCCACTCAGTCCTTTCTAATGAAAATTTATTTCATATTAAAGCCTCGTAATGCTCGGCCATTAACAAATCGGTAGCTTTTCACCTTCTATATAGACAATACTAATGCCGAAATATGGAAAGTTATCGATTAACCATACACGCAAAATGTTATAGCGCAAACCAACTGTGCCCGTAATTAGTTAACTTTACAGATATTGTTATATGAAAATAGCTTTTATTGATAAGGAAACTAAACATAGCTTGTGCAACCGTTTGGTGCAAAAATAACGTAGCAACCATTCACTATCTTTCCCTTTCACTAACAAAACTTGGGCACAGCTTAGCGGTGGGACTATAGACCGAGCAGCCCAAATGTCTCCCTAAGCTACACGCGTATCGCGTCTCATACATCTTTCTAACTGCCTAAAATATTTGAATTGAAAATTTTATTTAACTCCTTTTAGCGAGTTTGATTTTCATGTCAAGACTTCGCTCCGACCTACATCTATTACACGTCTATCACAGTGTAAATAATGCACTTACGATTGTAAACGGAAATTCACTTAAGTATAACTAGAACCAATTAGTGTAATAAATTACATGCACTTAAAAAGTTACATACAATCTATAAATATCCGTAACATTCAAAGCAAAATAGAAGTATACATAATATGTACGCAACAATGAAGAAGATGTAGGAAACGTCTGATTTTTCGACTCCTTTCATATTAAACCTAAATAAATATTAACAAGATAAAAGCATTAAAATCGCAATAAACCGTATGGACGACGACAAATTAGATATAAAATGGAAACTTCAATGTGTGCCAGAGCAAGTTAAACAGACACAGTACTACACGAAAAGATCACATACGATCCACGCATAGGATTGTCTGCTAATAATCCAATAAACCAAAGCAAACAAACGACAATATGTAAAAACACGCAAATGTAAACAACGGATGAAATACAGTTAGTTTTGTTTCCTCCTCAATTCTTCTAATTCTTAAAATTCATTAAAGTTTTTGACATATTACATTCTGTCAGTAGGTGAACAAAATTACGAACCGGGTATTGACCAGTAGTATGTAGAAAGTCTTCACTTCAATATTGTAGAAAACGTATCCTACGTAAGAGTAAAGTTGGCGAAATGCGTGCGGGACTTACGCATCCGGCGTCGACGTGTCCGCGGGCTAGTTGCCGCTTACGATCTTACGGCTTTCCAACTCCTCCATGTTGTTTGAACTGAAACAGGTTGACACAGAATCACAAATTATCCTCATCATTGCAGCCCATTATATGACATACACCTTTCATACCCAGGAAATCCAACAAAAAGGTAATTAAGAATGATAATATACTCCGAGATATATGGCAACAAGTCGTTTCTAAAATTATTCATATAAACATGTTTAAAATAAATATAACAGCCATCAAAAACATAACTTGTAAAAAAAAAACAAGTCTCGCAACTCAGTTCTTCTACCGTAAAAAGTTGTGAGATCCATCTAATACCAAGTCCGTTAATTTATTCAGTCCCTACTTAAGGGTCCTTCTGTCTTAAGTTATAACGTAATTAGCCAACCTAACAACATCTTATAGTGACCATATCAATATTAAAAATCTTTTATGTTTTTAATAAATAAATTGACTTGGCAATCGCACTAAACAATCTAATTTAATATAATATGTATTACTTGAGAGATACATTGTGTTTTCATGCGATGGCCAAGTCAATCTATTTATTTAAAATATAAAAGATTTTTATTATTGATGTGGTCACTATAAGATGTTGTTAGGTTAGTTAATTACGTAATAACTTAAAACAGAAGGACCCTTAAGTAGGGACTGAATAAATTAACCGACTTGTTATTACGTGGATCTCACAACTTTTTACAATAGAAGAACTGAGTTGCGAGACTTGGTTTTTTTTTACAAGTTATGTTTTTGATGGCATCTTATTTCTTTTTGTAGATAGTTATATCTAAGTACCTATCTACACCTATTATTCCATTATTATACATATATAGGTACTCTGATTCATTCACTGCAAATGTAACTTTGTAATCCTATATATTTATATGAGTTTACAAAGTTATTTATGCAGTTGGTGTATCTCGAAAACTGGACCGAAATTGCAAAATATTTATATACTAAACAGTAATGATATTCCAAATTTGAAGCTTCTATGTCTGCTAGAAGTGCCTTACAGTTTTGGTGATCGGTCAGTGAGTGAGTGACAAAATTAAGATAATTTGACTAGTTTATAATTCTTAAAATAATGGTTCAAATTTAATGAAATTTGAAATATACCGGAGTTTATACAATGCCTACTTGGTTACTGATAAAGTGTTAGTAATAAAGTGGAAATAAATAAATATTACCGCAGTTTGTCATCGTTCTTCCACGAGGTGACCTGAATGTGAGGCGGCGGCAAGTAACTTCTCAATGACTGCACGAGCTGAATCGTGTCCAACAGAACTGAAATATTACATTAAAATCATGAATGTTAAGAAATTTAAAAAAACAACTGATGACGGAATAAAAATATAGAATTAACTTTTTATGAAACACAGACCGAAAACAATACTTTTGTTATAATAAAATGATATTAGTATTTAATTATACCAACTATGATACAGAAAACTTTTTACGTGATAGAGCCATGCTGCAGCTATATTAGTTGTATAGTTTCACGAATGGGTCGGCTCAACCGGGGAAGCACCACGCTCTCACAGAATACCAGCGTAAAATAGCAGCTTGACACTGCTGTGTTTCGTATGGTGAGTGTAAAGAACCGGAGACCCGGAGACATTTTACTGCATTCCATCTTAGTCTTCACGGGTGACGACGCATCTGCATTTTGATTCTTTGTTAAAGATAAATGTAGGTGTCTATGGGCCGCAGCAACCACTTACCATGAGGTGGACTGTGTGCTCGTTTGTCACCCTATCCTATAAAAAAAAAATTTTTGAGACAACTTGGTAGCCCTTAGCCAACTGTGATGCTGCAGGCCGAGAGTTCAATTCCCACAGAAACAAGTATTTCTATGGTCTACAAATTATTATTGAAGGTCTAGATGTTCAAATAATAGTATGAGAGCTGGCGACGAATTTTGGGAAGGTCCTTTTGGCAAGTTAAAATTGTGAAAAAATATAATTTCGTTCATTGGCGAATTCAGTTCCGCGAGTCTGGCAGAGCGTTTGCGGTTATTTCGTTACTGCGCAGCATATGACATTTGCAAAAAAAATTTCCAAAAAAATGTTTTTTGGCAACTTGATTTCTTTTTTATCTTTTAATATTGTTTTTATATAATTCCGAAAAAATAATCCCAGACGTTTTTGTCGGTTATAAAGTATTACCAGACCTCTATAAAAATATTTTTTTAAATTCCCAAAAAATATACTTTTGGCAATCTCAAATTTTAATCACGTGTTTATTGTGTAATTTTTAATAGTACTTGCAAATCGCCAGACAAATTTAGCGGTTATAAACAATTCCCAGACGTGAATAAAGTTTACAAATGAATACGACAAAAAAGTTTTATGCGTAGCCATAAGTGCGAGAAAGATAACTTATCGAAGCATGCCGACAGCGAATGTGGGCCTAAGCTCCTCGATTGGTTATTAATAAATATCTTTTTTAAAGATTTTAAGATTAAATTCTTGTTTTGGGATTTAGCATGTATGTATGGGGATATATGACCATGTAAATATCTGTGTTATATACAGTTTGAATTATTTTAGATCAGTGCTGCAATATTTGAATAATAGCTACTAATTTTAACCTCGCAAGGCTTGAGCTTGACAAAAAATATGTTTTTTATAACTACTGCCCCATGTTCTTAAAAAAGGACAATATGTATAAAGTGCTTACCGCCCAGAGATGAAGATGAAAAAAATAACAAGTTGCACTTTCTCTACAGTCGTAACTTTTTTCGCAGTGATGTCATACAGATATAGACGACTTTTGAACTACCTAAATGTAGTTATGTATGAGCTATATTATTGTTAAGTTTTTTTAGTAGTGTTCGATTTTCTCAACGAAAAATGGAACTGCGTTGTGTGGCGAACATCACAAGCTCACCCTATACTTGATATTCTACAACTGATCGTTTATACCCGTATAAACGTGCAAAGGAATCAAGTGTGAACGGGATAGCGTTAGCGGGGAGGTACTCACTCTTCTGCAGCTGCTCGCTCTGCTTGCCGTAGGGCTTGCACATGGCGGGGCGCACGCAGGGACGCATGCGCTGCAGGTTGCGCGCCAGCTCGGCGAAGGCGCGCACCACGCGCTCCTGGCCGCCGGCCGCCGCGCGCCGCTAGCGGGGAGGTACTCACTCTTCTGCAGCTGCTCGCTCTGCTTGCCGTAGGGCTTGCACATGGCGGGGCGCACGCAGGGACGCATGCGCTGCAGGTTGCGCGCCAGCTCGGCGAAGGCGCGCACCACGCGCTCCTGGCCGCCGGCCGCCGCGCGCCGCTAGCGGGGAGGTACTCACTCTTCTGCAGCTGCTCGCTCTGCTTGCCGTAGGGCTTGCACATGGCGGGGCGCACGCAGGGACGCATGCGCTGCAGGTTGCGCGCCAGCTCGGCGAAGGCGCGCACCACGCGCTCCTGGCCGCCGGCCGCCGCGCGCCGCTAGCGGGGAGGTACTCACTCTTCTGCAGCTGCTCGCTCTGCTTGCCGTAGGGCTTGCACATGGCGGGGCGCACGCAGGGACGCATGCGCTGCAGGTTGCGCGCCAGCTCGGCGAAGGCGCGCACCACGCGCTCCTGGCCGCCGGCCGCCGCGCGCCGCTAGCGGGGAGGTACTCACTCTTCTGCAGCTGCTCGCTCTGCTTGCCGTAGGGCTTGCACATGGCGGGGCGCACGCAGGGACGCATGCGCTGCAGGTTGCGCGCCAGCTCGGCGAAGGCGCGCACCACGCGCTCCTGGCCGCCGGCCGCCGCGCGCCGCTAGCGGGGAGGTACTCACTCTTCTGCAGCTGCTCGCTCTGCTTGCCGTAGGGCTTGCACATGGCGGGGCGCACGCAGGGACGCATGCGCTGCAGGTTGCGCGCCAGCTCGGCGAAGGCGCGCACCACGCGCTCCTGGCCGCCGGCCGCCGCGCGCCGCTAGCGGGGAGGTACTCACTCTTCTGCAGCTGCTCGCTCTGCTTGCCGTAGGGCTTGCACATGGCGGGGCGCACGCAGGGACGCATGCGCTGCAGGTTGCGCGCCAGCTCGGCGAAGGCGCGCACCACGCGCTCCTGGCCGCCGGCCGCCGCGCGCCGCTAGCGGGGAGGTACTCACTCTTCTGCAGCTGCTCGCTCTGCTTGCCGTAGGGCTTGCACATGGCGGGGCGCACGCAGGGACGCATGCGCTGCAGGTTGCGCGCCAGCTCGGCGAAGGCGCGCACCACGCGCTCCTGGCCGCCGGCCGCCGCGCGCCGCTAGCGGGGAGGTACTCACTCTTCTGCAGCTGCTCGCTCTGCTTGCCGTAGGGCTTGCACATGGCGGGGCGCACGCAGGGACGCATGCGCTGCAGGTTGCGCGCCAGCTCGGCGAAGGCGCGCACCACGCGCTCCTGGCCGCCGGCCGCCGCGCGCCGCTAGCGGGGAGGTACTCACTCTTCTGCAGCTGCTCGCTCTGCTTGCCGTAGGGCTTGCACATGGCGGGGCGCACGCAGGGACGCATGCGCTGCAGGTTGCGCGCCAGCTCGGCGAAGGCGCGCACCACGCGCTCCTGGCCGCCGGCCGCCGCGCGCCGCTAGCGGGGAGGTACTCACTCTTCTGCAGCTGCTCGCTCTGCTTGCCGTAGGGCTTGCACATGGCGGGGCGCACGCAGGGACGCATGCGCTGCAGGTTGCGCGCCAGCTCGGCGAAGGCGCGCACCACGCGCTCCTGGCCGCCGGCCGCCGCCGCGCCCGCGCCCGCCGCCGCGCCGCCGCCGCCCGCTCCGCCCCCCACTCCACCGCTCACGCCACCGCCCACTCCGCCGCCGCTCGACAGCCCTTCCAAACTCTCTAAATTCGCTCTAATCAACAAAAACGGAACTCATAAGAAGGGAGGTCAAAAAGTTCGCGGAATGACTGGGAAGGATAATGAAATGAAACATTAAACTATTTTTCCTTATCGATGTATTCTCCCTTAACCCTAATACATTTATTAGATCTGTCAAATAACATATTAATACAGTCTAAAAAAAAAAGATTTTTCTTGGGCGTCAAAATGAAATGGTGGGAGTCAAAAAGGGCCGTCTTCAATGGAGTCCCTCCCTTGTTTGAAAAGGGCGTGCCATTTATAAATCATGGTTTTCCTAGGAGCGGAATCCCCATAAACAGCTGACATCTCTTGAAAAATTGTTTGAGGTGTCTTTCCTTCTTTGGTGAGAAACTTAATAACGGCATGATATCATCTTTTCTTTCATAGTGGCTAGTTTCTCCACGATTGACTTTTTTACTCGTTGATAACTCAAAAGCTAATGACCCGATTAGGCTGAAACTTGGTATATATACTAACAATGAGTCACTCAACTAGCGCCTACTGGGACGAGTAAACTAACACTCGCTAAGCCCGCCATTCCGCGAACTATTTGACCACCCCTCTAACAGTCCTATTATCATCATCATCATTGCAGCCCTTCACAAGTCTACTGCTGAATATAGGCCTGCCCCAAGGAATGTCAAAAAGCAATGACCCGAGCCACCTGCACCCATCTACTTTCTGCGTGTTTAAACACGTCGTCACTCCACCAAGTGGGGGTCGCCCTACCCCTCGCATACCAGTACGAGGCTGCCACTCGTGAACCTTTCTCACCCATCGTTGGTTAGTATTTCAAGCTGTATGACTGGCCCATTGTCACTTCAACTTACTACTCCGTTTGGCTATGTCGGTTACTCTGGTTCTACTGTGGAAATCCTCATTTCTAAGTTTATCACGCAGGGAAAATCCGAACATAGCCTCCTCCATAACTCGCTGGGCGATATACGCGAGCATACGGCCAGCAGTGAAGGACCACGTCTCACATACATGTGTCATCACTGACAAACGCGCACTGGTTTTACAATCTCCTTTTCAATTTTGAGGTATACCTAAAGACAGACATTATATATTATATAAGTTGTACCTCATACAGTTTGCTCGGTAGTAAATACCCTCGCGCGTAGAGGCCAATAGCTAAATATTAGTTTACTAACATTTAAATTATTTTAAATCTATACAAACAAAACGGTTAATCACACATAACTACAATCTACAACTACAAACATTTTATAGTAAGAAAATCGTTAAGTCGCTCTTTCATGAAGAGATAACAAAACAAAATACTACTTAACACTACAAGCCCTCGAATCCCACATAATTTATCTTTTTACATAGACTCACTTATCGACCTTGATCTAGATCTTGCCCAAACAGACTTCCATCTTTCTTCATGTTCACATAACTTTTCAATAGGCATAACTATAAATTCTTAAACAGCACTTACCGTTACCGTTACAGCCTATCAAAAGTCTACAGCTGACCTCCCCCATAGATTGTCCCATAGGGGGATATTTACCATAATTGCCACGGTTGGCGGGCGAATCGACAACCGCAGTTTTCTTTTATTTTCCATCTCCTGGTTTGTTTCCTATCTCCTCTTACAGCACTTGCTGAATTATATAGAGTAGTGGATACTCTTATACAGTATCCACTACCCTATATAATCACGAGAAGAACGACAAGAAAAAATCAAGAAGTCAAGAACGCTTTAAGAGAGTTAATCGTTTCTCGTGCAGCAGACTACTATAGCAAGGACATTAACAAACTGCCCATAAAATAAAATAATGTGTTAACCATTTTTTTTAATTATCCCATACGATATATAAAATAGATTCTTGCGTTTTTTATATCTTAGAATAAAAAACAACAAAAAGAAAGGCCAGGAACAATGAGCATTAATAATGGGAACATGCACATTTTACCTATCCTAAAATATCATTATTGATATTCAGTAGTTATTAGATACCAATTTTATGATCAGACACCACGAGTACAGCTAGTAAACAATAAAATTATACAAAATATATTATTTTAGTAAAGATTGCTAGATAAATACTTACACAGGGAAACCCATAAAAATATGTTATTAATAGCACAAAGGTAACTAGTGAATGGATTTATCATTTCAAAAAATTACAATAATACATTTTCTTCCGTAAATATTAAATTTGCTGACAAAAAATATAGAATTTGGTTTGCGCCATTGTTATTTACCTCAAAAAGTCGGTGAGTTTGTGCTCATCAGAATAGTGATGTTTAGATTTAGTCTCCAGACTAGACTGAGAGGAGGCCGAAGAGCGTTGTTGTGAGTGGCTGTACTTATCCACAGAAGACTGATGAGCCATTGACCTGTTCTGGTGTTGCAGTAGCATCTGTTGGTGCTGCGACAGTTTATCTTGAGAGCGGCGGTCTGCTTTGTCACCAGTTAGCCCAGCTGAAAAGAGAAACGAAATCGATTTCTTTTGAATTACAAACTGCAAAACTGATTTAAATAAACATCTATACAAGTTGTTATATGAAAAAGTTAAAAAGTTAAAATTACAGCCTATATACGTCCCACTGCTGGGCACAGGCCTCCTCTCATTTCTGAGAGGGTTTTAGGGCAAGGAAATGTCCACCGCGCTGCCCCAATGCGTATTGGCGAACTTCAAGTCTTCGAAATTTTTTTTTTATATCTTAGAAATGCAGGTTTCCTCACGATGTTTTCCTTCGCCGCCGAGCACGTGGTAAATCAGCACTTAAAATTGCAATCAACAATTTCATTGGTGCCGGTAGGGATCTAACCCAGGTTGCTCACGTACTGTGGAACTTACAGCGAGCGCTAACCATCTGAGCTACCACGGCTCTCTGATATGAATGTACTAAATGAGTAAATGACTATTCTGAACATATTACAGTTAATGGTCAAGTTCCTTTGCTAAATTTTTAAGAATAATGCTTTGTATGAATACAGATTTTCTTAGATACTACCTTCACATTAACTTTTTATAACTTAGTCATTAAGAAGTACAAAGGTACACGTCGCAATATCGAATAAGTAAAACGATAAAAGTTTAGATCAGTGATTCCCAAAAAGTGGTCCTCGGACCACCAGTCGTCCGCAAGAGTTTAAATATGGTCCGCGGAAGATTTAAATATTTTACCTACCTAATCGTTTTAAATAACATATTTATTATTTTCTCGTCACGCGGCCAGTGCAACACCACGGCGTCACGACAGTTCGTACCTACTAGCTTTTACCATAAATACACAATTAAAAATACTGTTAATGAATGCTTCTTTCCAGTTTATTATATAACAATGTTAAAATTTGTGATTATAATTTATTGTTAGATTAACACAGTTTTTTCTTTCACCTTGTGGTCGCTGCTAACTACAAATAATCGAAGTGATCCCTGGTCAAAAAAAAGGTTGGGAAACCCTGGTTTAGATCATATCCCAACAAAAAATTTAAAAAAACCACACAGAGTTACATTTCATTTTTGAGGGATTTTATGACAATAATTCGTCGGAAGGGTAAGGACGAAAAGAAGTCGAAAAGTGCTTTGTGTTCGTGGACCGCCAGATAACACACTAGTGGGTTTTAGAAATATACATTTCTCCATAGATCCGTCACTGTAGTAGGTCCTAGAAGATTAATAGCGTAAATGTCTTTGTAGCCAAAAAACTTAAGAGAAATTAAAATATTAGGTGTTACATTCCCATAATATCAAATATTATATAACTTTCGAAATATTAGCTCCACTACTGTTTAGGCCAAAAATGGGCATTTGAAATTCGCATCCAATTACGTGACTCGGCGCGTCACCCGATGGTATGTAGGTGACGTAAACGCCGCCTTCGGTGTGCCCTACGATCTGCGGTCAGACTTCAACGGTCAAGTCAGGTTACATGGTACACACTACTACACACTACTTACATGCACCTCACTTATCACCTGACCGGTACCCTGTGATCAACCCTACCTCCTGAAATCGGTAAGTTTTGTTGTGCTTGCTTATTTGTTAGCCGTTTTTGGAACCGTTATCCATAGGCCATTTGGGCTCCGCCCTTGGTTGCTCGTCGAGGGGACCACTCATGGGCCCTGGTCCAGTCGACCTTTGTCGGGACAACTAGGGTCGTGTACAACTACATTTTCTGATTCTGAACTTTGTCTGAACATAACATTTTGTTCGATATCTTACATTTGACTTTCAATTTCAAACTTAATGGCATATTAATTATTAATTTGTTGTTCATTTGTTTTCTTGCCAAACTATTTATTTATCTGCAACCAAGGAAAAACTGAAAAGTTGTGGTAATGTATTTATTTAAATAGTTTCACATACAATACAAATAAGTATGTATGTCTAAAAACTACTTAAAATAATAGTTAAACATTTTTTTCTATCGAAAAAAAAATGTTAATTATTTTGGAATATAAATTATCTTCTAGCATCAAAGTTGCATGGCAGGAAATGTCGTCAATCACTCAATTCAATATATTTAAATGGATAGATAGACAATAGATTAATAGATACATTATATTGGATGACATACTTGCAAATAAACCTCAAAAAAGCACAATTTTCTTAATCTTGTTTAATGACGTTTTATAATATCTAAATCATTCACAAAACTGTGGAGTCTAAGCGTAGACTTATGTTTAAACAAAATGTTAAACTTGGTTGGTTTTGATGCTCAGGGAAAAAAATCATTGATACTATCCTAAATAAGAGTATATAGGATCTGAATTTATTAGGCGTGATTTTTTCGTAATAACTCACTGAGAGCGGCGAGGTGCGGTGCTATGGGAAGCTGGTAGTCCTGTGCCAGGGCCGAGCCCCTCAGTAACCGCTCCACTGCCTGACTGTCGGACAGGTTAGAACTGCCCGCATCTAGACAAGTTAAGAGTCCCGTGGAGTAAACAAGTAAACTCTGACACTACAATGTCAATTAATAACAATAGAATGTACTTATATGGACATTATTTCATTTATTTGGTAAAAAAATGGGAAATGAACAACACTTCAGGTAACAAAATTAGGCTATTTTACTTAGTAATCTTATTCTACTAGGAGATTAATGTACTTCATTCTACTATAACAATACAGCCTATCACAAACCCACTGTTGAAAGTAGGTCTACCACATATTTTATAAAAGCTTGGTCCAAAGTCTCTATTTATAAACTCCTACATCATCAGATTCTCAACAGATAAATACAATAGTAGAAGAAAAGAACGCATTTTGCAGTTTCAAACTGGAAAATAGATTGTTGGGCAATATCTCTATATATGTATATAGATGGAATGATGAACTTCTCGAAACATGTGGAAATTTCATAACTGCACTAACTCAGAAAACTGATTTCTAATTCTCTGGGATATAATTATGTTTAGCACTAAAGCTGTGATATTTTCCAAAATATGACAAAACAGGTGCAAAAGTGAGTCACTTTTATAAACAAGTATATTTCACTTTTGTTGTTACAAAGGCAACATTCATTTATACAGCTGTATTAATCAAATGATAAAGAAATATGTCCAGCAGAGACATAGACAATCTTACATAGACAAACTAATGAAAATGATGCCAACAAAATAATTATTACATTAAAATTATAGAATTATTTTAAGTTCTGTAGTACAAGCACACAGCAAACATTCAAAAATTACTGATATAAAAGTATATTCACTATTCAGCTTTAGCCAAAAACTGACCTATTTCCAATAAAGCATACAAAGAGAAAACTAATTGCCAATTAGATATAATAGTATAATAATAATTTTGTTTTCTCCCTGGATAATGACAATAGAGCAAATATTTTTATGAATGTGTTAAATGTTATATTTTTTCCAAAAACAATCATTTTTAAAACAAAGAACCTTATCTAATTACTATAACAGCCCAGTTATACCACCGTTATTATACATCCATCATACAAATTAAATAAACATAAAACAAATTTAAAGAAAAACATACTGACAACTACAATGATTCTTATACTGTTTTTGAAAAAAATATTTAAATTGGCCCAGTTTATGAGGAAACAGAGGAATATGGGATGACAATTTTCAGAAATTTCATTGTTATAATCAAGCTTGTTTGCATAGCTCTGTGGTTTGGTACAGCACAGTAACAGATTGTTAAATCCTATTCAAAAGCACTTTCTAAATGGCAATATACTTTTGGTAGAAACTGAGCAGAAAAAAACTAAATGGATAACATATTTAAATTAGTTATTAAATAAATTTGTGAATGAAATAATAATTCACAACTTAGGGATGGCCCTTGGCCTGAGAGAACATTTGTATCTTAACCTACCCTCACAGCTGTACCTTAATCCTACTGTTGCTTACAACACTTGATGTGATTTTGAATTTGGCAAATTTAACAAAACCACACACTGAGTGCAGATTCAAACTATTTACCTAACTGCCCATTCAGTTCTTGTATTGGGCTATTTGTTTATTTATAAAAGCATCAAAACTATTGTTTTTATATCTTTATATATAAAAATTATGTGTCACATTGTTTGTCGGCGATGAACTCCTAAACTACTGAACTGATTTCAATGAAATTTTGCACACTGTGTGCATTTTGGTCCAACTTGAGGGTTGAAATTTAGAATCGTTTGGCAGGAAGAGAGGCCGAGGAAGAAGGAAGAAGAAGGGGGGAGTGTCCCCTTACTCCCGATACCACTCCCATTAAAAGGTAACACACCGTTCTTGAGAAAAATCAAAAAGAAAATCCCATAAACCTAAGCTGAAAGTAACATTTATCGTCTTCGGCAGGAGGGAGGAAGAGGATAGCAGGAGTGTGCCCTATCAGGGAAAGCCGCTCTGCTCTACCTTTCGTTCGTTGTGGAAAAGGATAGTTTATGAGTAATGTTTTTTTTTGTAAAATCATAACCTCACTTTTTTACACAGGAATATTGACCCAAAGTTACTTCTACAATGGCTTCGGTGCTGCGGGAAGTGCAGCCCCTTCACCCTTGCGTAGCGAACTACAGCGGGCGGGGACTGCTCTCCCTCCACGACTACGGCTTTACAAAACACTCTAGGAGTAGGGCAGACAAGACTATGTGAAGTCGGGGCGGGCTGGTTTAATTTTAGTAGAGATTCAATGAGATCAGATATCTTATCTATAAAATAAGGTTGCCTTCGCTCCCGCCACAACCATCTAACCTATTACAACTGAAATTATTTCTGGATGTTCAAGTATTTTTGGGCAGTTTTAAACAATACAGAAATAAAGCAGTATATTATAATAATTTCTTTGTCTGTAAACATATTTTTTTTATTAATTCCTCAAAAGGATCTCTTTTATTCCTTATAATTTCTCTTCTCCATAAATATTCATATATCAAGTCAGTAAAATTTTCTCTATTAATATAGTTGTCTTTAGCAAAATATCTCTTGACAGAGAGTATAGACAGTAGAATAATGTGACACTAGTCTTACGTCCTTGTCGCACTTACACAAAATTCTGTATACTATCCAGCTTTCACAGTAATTTTTCCATGTTTTATGCATTTTAGGTTGTAATAGTTTTTATTTATTTTTTCGATAATGGTGCATTACCTTTTATTGTGAGTGGCATTATTATAATCGGGGACTAAATCTCTACCAAATAAAATACCTTAATCCGCCAAATTCGTGCCATAAGATTCAAAATCCAACTTTTATCCCGATAAATGACCCTCAAAATTATTTATTGCGAATTTAAGGATTTTTATAGGAAGGGTCGTTCGAAAGGGCAGAACAACGTCTACCTGGCTAGCTAGTAATTTAATATAATATGAAAGCACTATATAATGCGAGTACAAGAAGTAAAAGATAAATAAAATAGAAGGTGGAGAATGATCAAATTTTTATTATTTAGCATGAATCTAGAGAAAATATTTTGTTGTTTGTTATTAGCACTGAGGCCCTACCCAACCAACCAAACAGCAACCCAACTCTCTATTATAATACAAGCCTAATTTAATCAGAGAGAAACTGCAAGTAAAATACTGTTACCATATTGTATTATATGCAATAATGTATTATAACATCATGTTTCACATAAACATTAATTTTAGTACCATAATTAGTGTTATTATTTAATAGTTAAAATTAAGAATTATAAGGTTATGATTCTCGCTTTTATTGTAGATGTTAAAGATAAAATTATTTTATATTTTTAATTAATTAATCATTGATTACAATAAATTTATTAAAACAAACCAAGAAAAACAAAATTACAAGCCTTCAGCTATGTACTTAATATAATCATTTACAGTTATGGCAAAGAAGTTTGTATGGCACCTTTTTATATTAATACATTTATATTACAAAAGAGGACTATTGATATCAATAATTCTTACCTGGAATATAAGTAGGCTGTTGAGATAAGTGTTGCTGAATAGATTTTTGTGTCATCTCCAGTTGATTTTTGTAGTAGCGGCATGCAGGGTTAGGACAGTTCTGGACCACTTCTATTATAAACTCTTTCTCCATACCAAACTGCTCTCTTCCTATAGTATATGATTCAACTACCTATAAATACGAATATGTTAAGCACAGTTTATATATAATTTAAATATGTATATTCTAATATATTGTAATATTAACACTTACTGCCCGAACTGTGGCTTCCAGGCCAAGATGTAACCCATGTGGGCCATTCATATGCTTCAACATTACTGCATTAGCAAAATGTTCATAGGGAAGGATAATCTTTCCATTTTCACGTAATATTAACCTTCCTTGTGTGTCTAATCCAACTCTAGATGCCATCATTCTGAAATTTGTAAAATTTTAATACTTAATTCTACTACTTCTATACTTATTCAGAAAAATGGATGGCTTAGCTTTCCATTGACGTCAGTGGAGTTTGGTGTTGATACGTATTTTTACAGAAAGATTACACTATTATAAGCACACACACAATGTCTCAATATACGGAAACGCGTAATTTTTGAGAAAAGAATAATTGAAAATCAATTATTCTTGCAATGTTTACGTCTAATTTGCTAATAAACTGGCGCCATTTTGTAATGTCATTGTCGACGTCAATAGGGATGTCGATTCTTTCCGAAAAAGGTCGATTTTTAAATCGATTCAAATCGTAAGCTGATGTATCGGTTCACAAAAAATCGATTTCTAAATTGTCTATATTTTTTTAATGTTTCTATTTATAATGTAAATATAAACCCATTTTATGAAAAACAAGAAAGATACCATGATAAATGATCTCTTATTGAAATTTGTTTTATTTAACAGTACCTATTAGGGCAGATAAATAAAATAGGTTAGGTTCAACTTATGTCAAAGAACCGAATTGATTGACCCCCACTCCACCTGGTACGAGTCTGTCCTACCCCTAGAGTGGTTTTATAGAGCCGGAGGCGCGTAGGGGGAGCAGCCTCCGCCTGCTGTAACAAATCGTAGTAATAATTGATTTTCAATTATTCTTTTCTCAAAAATTACGCGTTTCCGTATATTGAGACTTTGTGTGTGTGCTTATAATAGTGTAATCTTTCTGTAAAAATACGTATCAACACCAAACTCCACTGACGTCAATGGAAAGTCGTACCAAATGGATTATAAATATTTAATTACTGTAAATAAGCTGCACTAGGTAACATAGAAGATTCCTTGAGATCACTGAAACACTGTAACAGCTCTATGCTTGGACTCCAACCCTTATTTTGAAGATATAACTGTAGTAGCATATAAAGCTTTTCAGTGACGTATCCTTCAGCACCGTGCGGCGCAGCGGCTCCAGATGAGCTCGCCGCAGCGCCACCAGCGCTACCAGTACTCTTCGCTAAAACACTCTTCATTGTCTCCGCCAAATCCATCTTATAGATGTCTAAATAAGTCCTCTTTTGGGGATCCTTCAGAAAAAATCAAATAGTCGAAATCAATAGTAACATACGTTCCTGAACATAATGCATATAATAATTTTTAAAAGAAACCAGCCTTACCAGAATGATAATATATCGGTGCAAACAATTTTGGAAAAACAATTATTTATTTATTACAAAATATTCATCCACAATTTAATAAAAAAATATTAAATTTTACTTCAAATGACACAGAAAGCTTTTCTTTTTTTTTGACATTTGTCAATGAATGTTAACATTAGTTTTTTATTAACATTTTTGGCTTGGATGCTTGTTTTTTAAGCCATATCTTAATTTTATTCTGGATCTTCGATTTTTTAGATTTTCAGTATCAAGTGATAATAATCCTTTATAATACCATCCTTCACAATATGTTGATGCGTCACATTGCGTAGGTTTTTAAGATTTTGACAGCAACTTGAGCCAGCAGACAATTGGCGATTGTATCTGGATAAGTATTTCCATAGACATAAAGAGAATGGACTGAGCGTTGGCCTCACAATAGTAACCATTCTCTAAAAAGAGACAAACTGACTGTACGGCCGATACCTGTTCCTTTAGTGCAAGCCTGATTGGTACACGTCCTGCAAGCCAGTGACGTGGACCAATCAGAATTCTAGAAAGGCTACTGGCCGCATATTAGATTTGTCTTGCTCATTTTTTCGGTCTATATTCACTGAACAACTGAATATAAAACGCACAGTACATTCTCTTTATGCCTCTTCATACAAAGTGCTAGGCACTAGCATAGATTGTACAAATTAGTGTTGTCCCAATTTTCAGGGGTGTGGTGACACATCCCGATTCACCCTTGATCGGATTGCCAATTGTCCCGATTTTTAACTAATCTCCTTAGTCTGTACTTCTATCGATAATTACGACAGCAAAAATGAATATAAACACTGACTGATGTATTTTAACAGATCTCATAAATATTAACTATTAAAAGTACACCCATGTAGCTTAGAAATAAAAAAAAGTATCTAAAGATCGCTCACCTTATAACGTCGAAATTACTTCAAATAATTTTATTAATTGGGTAATACCAAAAACTGCACCTTGCTTAAATATAATTGCACCATCGTTAAAAGAACATAAAATGCAATAATAGGTGCAAAACGTTATAAAAACCAAATTTGTTAACTGTCGAATGCACCACCCCCCGACCCCAGCCTACGAATTCGGAGTACATATAAAATAAATTATACTGACATACGCATTTTAAATAGTACATCCCAAAATAGATATTATTTAAACTCCATCCATTGTTTTGAATTGCAAAATAGATAAAGATCGCTCACATTATTACGTCTATATCATCATCACAGTCCTTCACAAGTTCTTTTTTTTTTATAGAAGAGGGGGCAAACGAGCATGCGGCTCACCTGATGGTAAGTGACTACCGTCGCCCATGAACAACCGCAACACCAGGGGAATTGCAGATGCGTTGCCGGCCTTTTAGAAAGGTGTAAGCTCTTTTCTTGAAGGTTCCTAAGTCGTATCGGTCCGGAAAATTCGCTGGTGGTAATTGATTCCACAAGGAAGTTGTGCGAGGGAGAAAATTTCCTCTAAATCGCACAGTGGTGGACTGCCAATCATCCAGATGGTATGGATGGTAACGCGAGTTTTGTGAAATTGAGCGGCTGCAATTAGTCCGAATAATTCCTCAGAGCACTCCCCGTGATAGATGCGATAAAATACGCAAAGAGATGCAACATCTCTAAGCAGTGCCAGTGTATCGAGCCGATCAGAAAGAACTCGGTCGTCGACGATTCGAACCGCTCTACGCTGGATGCGGTCAAGTGGAAGGAGCTGGCACTGTGGTGCCCCGGCCCAGAGATGAGAACAGTATTCCATGTGGGGCTGAACTTGTGCTTTGTAAAGTTGCAAGCGATGTGCCGGCATGAAATACTGTCTCGCTCTGCTGAGCACGCCAAGCTTTTTAGAGGCCAATTTGGCCTTCCCTTCCAAGTGACCACGAAACTGCACACTATTCGATATGTCGACGCCAAGGATTCCGATACTAGCTGAGGCAGCAAGGGGAGTGCCTTGAAACTGAGGAGATACGACAAAGGGGTTCTTTTTAGCGGTAAACGCGCAAACTTGTGTCTTCTGGGGATTGAACTGGATTACATTTAGTCGGCCCCAATCCGAGACTTTGTTAAGCAATGACTCGACTTCAGACACAAGTTTGTCCCGGTACTCAGCGACGTTTTCCCGAGAAATATTGGCACGGCCGGTATATAAGGCATCACCAGTGCTGTCGTCTGCATAGCAACGAATGCTACCAGTTAGCAACATATCATTGATATGCAGGACAAACAGCGTTGGTGATATCACGCAGCCTTGTGGAACACCAGCGTTGATAGGCTTGAAATCAGAGCATGCACCGTCTACTACGACCTTGATGCTCCGATCAGCAAGGAAACTGGTGATCCATTTGCACAATATCTCGGGAAGCCCATAGGAAGGAAGCTTCGAAAGAAGCGCTTTGTGCCAGACCCGATCGAAGGCCTTCGCTATGTCCAAATTAACGGCCAATGCCTCCCCCTTGGACTCTACTGCCTCCGCCCATCTATGAGTCAGATAAACTAGTAGATCACCAGCTGATCGACCTCGACGAAAACCGTACTGGCGGTCACTAATCAGCTGGTGATCCTCAAGGTACCTCATGAGCTGGCAGTTTATAATGGATTCCATTATTTTGGAGAACAAGGAGGTGATGGCAATAGGCCTGTAGTTGGACGGGTCTGAGCGGTCGCCTTTTTTAGGGATCGGGTGGATCAAAGCTGTCTTCCATGAATTCGGGACTACGCCTTGGGAGTAGGAGTACCGGAAAAGACGCGTTAAAACCGGTGCCAACTCAGGAGCACACGTCTTCAGCACAATGAGAGGGACTCCAACGGGCCCACTCGACTTGCTGACGTCCAGGGAGAAGAGTGCTTTGCGAACCGAGCGCTGTGTAAACCGCATATCCGGCATGGAGCACTCACATCGCGGGATGGTCGGCGGTGTGTATCCCCCGTCATCTAGAGTCGAGTTGGACGCAAAAAGAGAGCTCAATAGATCGGCTTTCTCCTTTGCGGCATGGGCCAGTGAGTCGTCCTCTCTGTGCAGAGATGGAAGAGATGGCTGACAGAAGTTCCCTTGGACAGCCTTGGCGAGAGACCAGAATGCACGGGTTCCCGAAGGAAGGCGAACTAGCTTCTCGCCAATTCTGCCGATGTGCTCAGACCTTTCCTTGGCAATGACGCTTTTGAAGGACCTGGAGGCGGAGTTATACTTCTTTTTAAGTGCGCTGGTGTTTACATCCCGAGACGTTGATGCGTCAGCCCAGGCCCGGTAGCACTCCTGCTTATAGCGTGATGCTATTCTACAGGAGCGACCAAACCATGGCTGGGATCTGCTACCGATGGGCACCACAGAGGATGGAATAAAAAGTTACATACCCTGAAGTACCACATCAGCAACAGAATCGGCAACAACGCTGGGATCTTCCGGCGAGAAGCGAACCCGCCCCCAAGAGTAGGATGCAAAAAAAGACCGCATCCCGTCCCAATCAGCTGACCTATAGTGCCAAACACGGTGGCAAGCTGCAGATCGCAACTGCGATTGGAGCGTGAGTGGCACCGTACTCCGGATCAGACAATGGTCCGACGAGCCCAGAGGGGCATCGACGGAGACCTGATATCCGTCCGGACGAGAGGTCAGCAGAAGGTCCAACAGGGAAGGTACATGGTCTTCCACATCTGGGATCCGCGTAGGCGAAGTAACCAGTTGTGTTAGACCATATGCCAAAGCAAAGTCATAGACAGATCTACCCGCATGATCGGTTAAACGAGAACCAAGCCATTCAGCGTGGTGGGCGTTAAAATCACCAAGTATCACGATCTTTGCGGATGGGACCTGTTGTAGCACGGAGTCTGCAGCCGTTTGGACGTGGTCGATGAGTCGGTCTGTGTCGGCATTACCGCTATGGGACCTATAGAGGCACCCGTAGACGCGGGGATGGTCGTCGCTGTCTACGCGCAGCCATAGGATGGACAGGTCCGTACCTTCAAGACTGCCCAGGCGTCGAAAACAGATGTTCTCTCTGACGTATACGCAAACTCCAGCCCGGGGCACAAAGGAGTGTTCCAATTTGTACCCCGGGTTGGAGAGTTATGAAGTATCAGCCGGAGAGGACACCTGAGTCTCGGTTAAAAAGAGCAAGGCCGGCTTCGCCGTCTCTAGATGGTAATGGACAGCGTTAAGGTTGGAATGAAGTCCCCTGATCTTGCAAAAATTCACGGATAGCGTGACAGGGGTCGCCTTGGTTGTATTGCTCCGCTTGCCCCGAGCAGCATTAGTCGCGAGCGGAATTTTGCCTCCCCCCCCCCTCCCAGAATACGCGGGGCAGCCTGAGCACCCACGCTCAGGAGTGAAGTAGTTTGGTCGTGGCTGCTCAGCGAGGGATTCTCCAGGGGTGCTGGTACCCTCCTGGGGTAGTCTTTTATTTAATTCCACTACCATGTTGATGGGGGGGGGGGGGGGGTTCTGTGAGGTCGTGGTCCCATCCGTGCGACAGCAAAAGCTACCGCTTAGCTCTACCACTGTTAGGTGCGGCCCGTAAATATACGGTCTACGATTTTGTGACGCGCATTCCTGCTGGAGCGCTTCCCGGGACTTATTGGGTCCGACTCAGAATCTGTATAAGTGCATTCGACAATATTAGGTAGTGCGGCCTCTGATATTCTAGAACTAACTGTTGCAACGCGAAACGGTAGCGACCTTTGGTCCAGAGGCTCCGTGTGCGTTTTGTGCGGTAACCTTATACCGCGCGATAGTTAGTGGCTTCTGTAAGTTAGTTAATCGCACGATAGAGTTAATTGACTGTCATCGTGACGAAAGAGGAAAGTGATTGTGGTCCGGCGCCGAAGCAGTCTGAAGCGGTGCAGCATTTTGGAGCAGCCTGG